TTAGACTAAAGGGGATCTTCAATTTTATCTTTGAGTTGATCTTGTGACGATACAATTGTTATGAGATCTTCACCCGTAATTATCTTGTCGACAATTAAATTAGTAATCACATCCTTTAATAAATTACTGTACAACATATTTTATTAATTTTAAAAGATCAAACTGTACAACTAAAGAATTAGACTTGTACTTCGTTTCGTTTCCCACTTTGTTTTCCTCCACTTTCCTTGAATAATTCTCAATGTACAGAATTATTCATCGCCAGAAGTCTCACAGATACTCACATGAATGTGGGCCTCATGTGAATTAAATATTTTATTAAAAAAGTGGGTCCCATCATTTTGTGTCTTGTCTGGAAATTTTCTGTATCTGTACATGTAGGGCTGCTCATTTTCCTTATGTTAACGTGTTAATGTCTAATCAATCAAATTTTAGGCGATTTATCAAATATCATGAATAATCATGAAATGTTTGAAAATATATTAGCCAAATTTGGACATCGCCTTCTAAAGGAAAGAGGATAGACACTTGGTATGCACAAAATCTAGACGAATTTTGCCAATATGCGACAATATTATATGGTCCAAGAATGGAATTTTTAATCTATCCCCTCGAGATGGAATGTTTATATCTATTTGCTTATTTTATAAAACTTTGCTTTATTTTTATCTACTTTTAACGGGCCGAACTTTTATTTTAATCATATATTTTGCGAAAACAACTTTTATTAAAACTACAAAAGTTTTATCAAAAACTTTGTCAAACAACTCGTTAGTCACAAACCTTGGGAGAAAAAACTTCAATAGATGATTTTACACACACACGTGATAGGACTTACCGTTTAAATCAGACACACCTCGAACTCTGAACCACTTTAATCACGACAATTTTTACATTCAAGGTAATAAGAGAGAGAAACAAGTGTTGTTGGATCCATTAAATCAAACACACCTCGAACTCTGAACCATTCAAATCACGGCTTTTCTACATTCAAGATAATAAGAGAGGGAAACAAGTGTTGTTGGATCCATTTAAATGTCAATTCGTCGTGATTTAAGTAGGTTAGGATCCATTAAGTTATGATTTAAATGACCAATCCTACCACATGTCCATGTAAAATCATCCCACTGAAGAGTAATGCTATATATTATTGGTGCTAAAACACCACATTATATGACAACACGTGATAGGTTTGATTCGATTCGATTGATCTCATAACACCAAATTTAATTGAATTTATCATTTAATGCTACCAATTTGTCACATAATGTGGTGTTTTAATATGAGTAGTGCCACATAGCATTATTTTTTACTGAATACTTTATTCAAACTTGGAATTTACATTAGTGATTTTGACTAAAAAACTCGTGTATTAATTGTAAACGCAGAATTACTAGAATATATAAACTATTAAGAGTAAATTTACTAACCAATATATGAATTTGGCTACTCGTTTTTTTTTTTTAAATTACATTTTAATATGGAACTTTAATCTTAATACGATACTAGAGTCTATAAAGCTCTAATAAGCAATTCAATCCATCTCAAATTCGAATGATCATTTGAATTTCAAGGTTGGCGTGCTTAAATGAGTTACCATCTTTCAAGACCATATTAAAAGTAAAATATTTCGATTTAGTATAAAAATACTAATCAATATATAAGGATTTTGAGTTTATTCTTTTAACAAGTTTAATATTTTAAGATTAAGCTTCAAAATATAAAAATCTAATTATTAGCAACATATAAAA